GTGCGAGGCTGCTAGCGAGCTATATCCACCCTGAAGGTTAATCTTGGACAATATCTGATGATTGAGTCTTTTAAATGACACCAGAGAGCGTTGACAGAGAGGAGAAGGTAGAAATGACTCAGCCTGGAACTGAAAATATGGATGGAGGACAACAGAGCTGCTTCATGGAAGAAGAACCTCAACTTAGCTGTCGCACTAGCACCAACACTATATTGCCTTATATGTATTAGCTTGGTGCTAGTGCGACAAACAAGTTAAACTGTTGTCCTCCATCCATATTTTCAGTTACAGGCTGTCATTTCTACCTTCTCCTCTCTGTCAACGCTCTCTGGTTTCATTTAAAAGAGTCAATCATCAGATATTGTCCAAGATTAACCTTCAGGGTGGATATAGCTCGCTAGCAGCCTCGCACAGATGACCTATCCACATCATCATTTACCCAGAATGCTTTGTGTGTAAATAAAATGGCTCAGTCAGTGTAATATACTTTAAAGTTTTAGTTTAAAAAAATTAAAAACTAAACATCCTACAGTATTTTAGTCTTTATTTTACTGTTAAAATGTATGTTTATTAAATAAAGTTTACTGTTTCAACTAATCATGGATCCCTTTAAATAACTTCTCTAATGTGCTTTACTAATTAAGCAGTTTAATGAACCTAAAATGTTAAATAGCAAGACCAAATGTAGTAGCACTAGTCAACTAGTTGCAGTTTTAACACCTACCACTAGTTAACTAGTGTACCTTAAACATGTCAACAAATCAACAAGTGCAACTAAACTTGATCACACTAGTTAATTAGACAATTGACTAGTTGAGAGGTTTTAGGTGTATTAGTTAAGTAGTAAGGACAGAAACATGTTGACTAGAGTTTACTAGTTGACCACTTCAATTTTTGTTGCACTAATCATAGTGAAAACATTCCACACTAGTGGAGCAGATGTCATAATTTGGGTTGACTAGTTCAGTGTTTTTCAAAGTGGGGACCCCCCGCCCTCCCCCACGGGAGACCACCAGGGGGCAGCAGGGGCCTCAGATTGCTGGAGGTAAAAGAAAAGAAATAAAAAAATCTAATAAATGTTTTAAATCAAATCTATTTTTCAATAATTATTTAAACAATATAATTTATTTTATATATTGAAATGTTATTGTTTTTTGTTCTGTTATCAAGTTTGTTGAAAAATGAGAATAAAACAGTTTAAAACATTTTAGTTATTGAAATTCTTATTCAAAAAAATGTAACAATTAGTAAACAGTGACTAAAAGTGAGAAAAACATTGTAAAAGTTGATTTTGTTAAATATATTTTGTAGCTTGTGAGTTTGCACAGTGGGACCAGCACAACTGCAGTTTCATACTAGTAAAAATTACATCTGCTTACTAATAAATACACAAATGGCTTGCCATATTTTCCCGTTATAAACAAGAAAGTTTGTTAATCAGCTTCAGGAAATGTCGACATATAATGCAAACTTTTTCCCTGTATGCGGTTTTTTAATTATTAAAACCTCATCCTAACTTGTGATAAGTGATTTATAGATCTGTATAAACTGTCTGCAGAGGCTGTAGCCTACATTTTTCCATCCCAGCGGTAAATAAGTTGGACCAGAACAGTCTCCATCAGTGCGGACGGTGAGCTGCTGTCTGCCGGTGTGGGACTCACCCTCACAGCTCGAGCTTGAACGGACCTTTTTTCCTCTTTTTTCCAGATTTTCCCCACAACGTTTCTCCCGCCGGCCAAGCTCCAAGTCCCACTGCCGCGCGTTTGTCTGGAGCTGTAATTCAGCACAGAAACACAACTTTACATTTCCTCTGTAACACAACCAGGATGTTCACAAGGTTCGGTTCCGACTCACGTTCTCATCATCACAGTTTTTCTCTTCCTCTATCGTCTTTTAGATTTTTTATTATTATTATTTTACAGCGGTTCTTCTGCTTCTTGTGTCTCTGTTATTCTGGTTGTCATAACAACGAGACCTCTGCTGGGCCGTTTGAGTATGGCAAGCCGTTTTAACATAAAATCAGCCAAAGTAATTATTTGCTTTTTGTTCTGACTAGTCAAAATTCCAAACTAGAATACAGCGGGTAAAATAAGTATTAAACACGTCACCATTTTTCTCAGTAAATATATTACTAGAGGAGCTAATGACATGAAATTTTCACCAGATGTTGGTAACAACCCAAGTGATCCAACTGAAAGAACATTATTTCACCATAAACC